CCAGCCTCTGAACTTTGTTCAGGGACTGTCGATATGTGCTGATTTTGGTTCTATGCCACCATATGACGGCGGAATATGTGATTATGGGTTTCACAGTGGTGACGTACACCATCTTCGGTGAAATTCCCCATGTTTTTCCAAAAGTGCGTTTGCAGGTCCGTAAAGCCCTGATCACCTTGTTTGTTTTCTGTTCCACATGTTCTTTAAACAACAGCTTCTTATCCAGGGTTACCCCAAGATATTTGACAGTGTTAGACATGTGTATATTGTTCCCATATATAGACATTTGTCGTAGGGCTCTAAGATCTCTCTTCCTTGTGAAAGCGATTATAGATGTCTTGGATGGGCTAATTTTCAGCCCTTCCGTGTTACACCATTGTGTGTGTGTGTGTGTGTGTGTGTGTGTGTGTGATGTTTAGCGCCTGCTGCATCAATGATAATACAGTGTCTCCAAACTTTACAACTCTCCAACAGCTTCCATGCTGACTTCATTGAGTGCGACAGTAACCGTTCTGCAACTCAGCATGTTTTGGTTTACATATTATAGGCTCCACTCCACGATTTTTCACAGCTCTGACGATTGACTGAATAGAGGTTTTGTCAAAGGCTCCCTCTATGTCCAGAAAAGCCACCAGAGCAATTTCTTTACGCTCTAATGAGGTTTGTGCCCTCTGCACCAACTCGTGAATAGCAGATTCTCAGGATTTTCCCATTTGGTAGGCATATTGGTTGTGGTGTAGAGGACTTCTAGTTAGAACATCTTTCCTGATGTGTCTGTCGATCAGCTTTTCTAGTGTTTTGAGTAAGAACGATGTTAGGCTGATCGGGCGAAAGGATTTGGCCTGAGCATACGTCGCCCGCCCTGGTTTTGGAATGAATACTACTTTCGCCATTCTCCATTCCATTGGCATATATGCCAGGGCCAAGCTGGCCCGGAGCATCTTGCACAAGAGGGGCACCAGTAAATCGGTTCCCTGTTGTAGCAGAACTGGCATTAGGCCATC